CACTTCCCAATTTGCCTGGCGACACCCAGGTGAAACCAACGCGTCCTCTGACGCCTCGCCTTCCTGCTCGTGATCAAAGCGGTCCTTCAACAGCTCAGTCTCTCGACCCAGCCTGCCTGCCGTGCTAGTGCATCCATAGCAATGTCTAGCGAGTCAGGTGTAGGCCCTGGGCCGCCTGTGCCACCGGTTCCCCCGCCACCAGATCCTGACGGCAGCTCCGCCCGTGGCAGCACTTCATCCGACCCCTCCGACGCTCCACCTTCCACTCCGGTGGTTACACATGGAACGACTATAGGTGAGGCTGTGAAACATGTGAACACCAACGAGAATGGTTCGCCATCTCCCCCACCACCACCTAGTGGGTGGGATCCAGCCATTGCGCATCGGATCAAGCAAACTATGGCTCGAGATTGGACATTACAGCCGCTCGGACTAGCGATTCCGGATGAGCTGCAGAAATTGTACGCTCTGGCTACAGCTGACTATCCCCTTCATGATGATTCGGCATTACGACAGATGACTGCGCTGGAATTGGACGCTCTTGATGCTTATATGACCGGGCGATTAGACCTTCCAGCTCCGCCCACATTCCTAACGTGCACTATGTCCACGTTGAAGCGACTTGCTATTCTCAAATTCCACAAAGAACACATCGAGGCTACCTTGATTGCTTTCGTGGAAGCAAAAATACGTCTAGGCAAGCACATCACTCGTCAAGCTATCCTTCGCGAGCTTCTAGCTGCAAATGGAGGACCCACTCAAGGCGATAAGATGGTTAAACGCCTCATGGGTGAGGCATTGCGTATTGTATTCGATGGAAGAAACACTCTATCTTTCGTTTTCGCGTCTAAAAGAGCAGCTAAACCTTGGATTGGTGCTGCCTTAAAGTTTCGAACGGGAGTATTGCAACTTCATGAATCTAGTCTTGCCAAACCTGGGGTTCAAGCGCCACCTCAAGTAGCTCAACAATATGCGGTCCGCGTCCTAGGAGTGGCGGTATTGGATCCTGTTGAGCTGCTTACGATTTTTAATCGCGCCACATCGGACAACGTTCTTGATATTCGCCAACGGGGAATGGACGGCCTCAATACGGTTGACAATGATTACTGGACTGTCATTTTTCGAGGACTTGATTGCCCGCCTGCACTTCGAGATGTCACCAGCATTCTGCTGGGCGATAGGGAACTGATCCTGCATCACTTTCAACGAACGGCACGAATTCCTTGCAGAAGATGTTTACAATCTGGACACGCACGATCACGGTGCGCAGTTGACCCACAACGTCTTCAGGATGTTCGATCCCGCCGCCAACGTCGATTTTCAGGAGAGCTACCGCCTTCTTTATCAATTGCACCCGGGGATTACACTGGTGTTGAATTTTTTGAGGAAAGACTTGAAACACTCCGTTGTGATCTCAACCAAAGCGTTACTGGTGTTGAATTTTTTGAGGAAAGACTTGAAACACTCCGTTGTGATCTCAACCAAAGCGTGTCGACTGGTAACAATCCGGAATGCCTCGTCACTGTTGCTCCAACGAATGCCAATCGTGCGTCCGAGAGCTCGGATACGGAAAACGGAGATGCAACTGCCCAAGCATCGATCAATATTACGCCTGGAGATGGCTGGCAACTTTCTCAAGGAGGTCGGCTGGCGCACACTACCCCAACTCCGGTTGCAACAGCGACTGACGAGGTAGCTGCAAATCGCCCAGCCAACTCTAAACGAAAACCGACCCGCTCAGTATCGACCACACGCAACTCGCCGAAGACCAATACGCTTGGGCAAAAACCTCTCGCTACTAAGTCTAAATCAACTAAAGGTGCTGAAGTCCCGGCCAAATCAAAGTCAGCAAAAAAGTTTACTAGATTTGCGCAACAAGCTGCAGCTGAACGCTATCAACTCACCCGACACGCGTTTGACCTGTTGAACGGAGACGAAGATGACGATGACGATGACGAGAATGACGACACTACTAGTAGTGATGACAATGCCCCTACCGCGGTACCTATTGCCCCCCCTGGCTCGTCAGACTATCCTTCCACAATGAATCGCAGTGAGGGCACTGGATATGACATGGACATTGACGGAGAGGAAACATCCCAGCAAAATACGGCCTTAAACACTGAGAATGATCAGCAGGAGCACCCCCACTCTCCCTCTGACGTCCGCGCCTCGTATCATCGTTTTTCGGAGCGTCTTTCAACTTCTCGCGGCCACGTGATTTCTGTACCGGCAAATGGACACTCTCTTTTCTCGGCCCTCTTTGCGTCTACTACTAACTATCCCCGCCAAAAATTAATGCTATCCAAGGCAAATGGGCGTGAAGTTACCAAGATCCTGAAGGCTGTTGTCACCATATTGTTAGCCAACTTGCGGTATGACATCCAGCTGGGCCTTGTTGACCCCATGGAAGAACTCAGGCGTATTTACCCTGCAGAGACGCTTCCCACTACAGTACACGGCGCTACTGCACAGCTTTATGCACACTACGCGATGAGCTTAAAAGTGCCTGCTACTGTTGCGATTCCTAACTCATTTTACGGTGGTGACCTGGTACTTCGAGCTCTCACGGTTCATCTTCGAGAACCAGTCTACGTGTGGGTTCATGATTCTGATCATGTCACGCAAGTGTACCAGTACACTTACAACACCCGTAAAACAGCAAGTGGCGAATCACATGAAACAGGTACTTCAGCCATGCTCTCAAGTGAAGAGATCGACTCGGTAATTAATGCATGTGCAAACGCACGTGTGATACCTGTAATGCTACAGTACTCAATTGCAACTGCACAGTACGAAGGGTTCTGTTGGGGGCCTATTTTCTCTCAATGGGATACTGAAGAGGGTCTAACCATGCGTCAGCGGTTGGATCAGGTGCACAATTCTCTTGGTATTCCTGTCCTGGACGCAGCACCATATGACGAACACAGTATGTCTCAAGCGGCTGCCAGTGAAGAAGGGGCAATTCTTGAAGATCTCGGAGTTGACACCTTCTCGAGTGGCTTTTATTCTACAGAGATTCATGATTCACACAGTACAGATATGCCAGTACGTGAACAGATTTACGTTCACTCGAAAGTCTACAATCGCATCCTAAGAACGCCAGATCGCACATCCTTCACGTTGATTGATACCAAAACCGCAGACCGACTGCAGGCTGATAACAACCGTGCGTATGCTAAATGGGTCCAGTTGCACAGTGCCAAATTTGAGGTTCCGCCACAGCTGCCACCTTTGCAGCAGTCAATCGATTGGTTTACTGAGCGACCTCATGCTCTGCGGCATCTCTTAGCCTACATTCCTTTCCCGGAATTTGCAGTCCAAACGTTCACGCTGGAGCAATTACTACGTTGGGGTGAGCAAGAAGTTTTTTGTCAACAGATGTTGATGCTCGAAAGAATTGCTCACGATGAAGATCAGGTTGATAATGCCAGAGTCCTGTGTCAGGCATGGATTGATGCATGTCGAACAAATGAAGCCGAAGCCATTCAAATTGCTCAAGATCGCGCCAAGTGGGAAGAATTAGGACGAATGGTGGACGGATCTTTCCTACGTAATCACCCGGACAACATCCCAATGAACCATTGGTACATACTGCATATTATTCCATACGTGGTTCGTGACTGGACAAAAACTACCATGTCTCGTACAAACACGGCAGCGCGGGCGCTCTGGTATTCCCACTTCCCCGTTGTCGCAAAACTCTGCGCATCTATCGCTGTCTGCCAAGACTGGAGTGCTTCAACACTTCTTCCCTCCCTTGGATTAGCGCACATGGCACTGTCCTCGACGTCCACTCCAGGACCAATCGAGGCAGGCCATGAGGCGCCACGTCGTTAAGGGCGACTCTGTCGCCCATCCTCCTAGTGGACTTCGACAATCCACCCTGGAGGATCATTTCTCGTCTCTCTCACTCACTCATCGTGGGCAGGAGTTGCGACGAGAATTTCGTCGAAACAGACGCATTAGACGGCGTCTCCTTCGCCAGCAAGATCGCGAAGTCAGAGAACGCCACATCGATCATAGTAATACCGCATTGGACCATACGGATCAGACTATCGGTCTTCTTACTCAAAATGTCCGAGGGCTCGGCGCAACAGTCAGGGACAGAGATGACTGGTTTTCTTCTTTTCGCCAACGCACTAAGCACGGAGTCGTGGATGCAGCTTTCATTCAGGAGACTCATGTCAACCCTGATGAGGTAACATCGACGATAAATTTGCACGCTCGGCAATGGGGCTATCGATCTGGTACGGGCTGCCCTACACTATCAATGTGGTCACCATCGACAGACCGCAGGGCTGGAGTTGGAATCCTTTTTCACCCGCAGAGTCGGCTGACTCATCCGACCGCGGTGTTTGCCGAATTCTGGTCCCCACATTTCATGGCAGTCAAATGCTCTCTTGAGGAGGACCCCGTGCTCCTTATCAATATATATGCTCCAACCAATCGCGCTGACCGCGAAGCCCTTTTTCTTAGCTTGGCCTCGCTGGATCTGCCGCCAGATACGAAGGTTTTTGTGGGCGGGGATTTCAACTGCACTCTATATGGTGATATTGATCGGTCATTCCACCCTACCATACCAATGCATAACTCCCCTGGTCTTCGACGTTTGCTTCAAGCATGGCAATTATCTGACAGCCTGATCAATCGTCTCCCGAACTCGTCTGAGGAGCACGAGAAAAGGAAATTCTACGATGACCATCACACTTTTTCATATGTGGTGGGCGAAACCACAACAGCAACATGTCGCCTCGATCGATGGTATGTGAATGATATTGGAAGGACGTGGACGAAGGACACTGAGGTGACGGATGCGAGTGTCCCAATGGCAGATCACCGAGGAGTACTTCTTCACCTTCAATCACCTGATAATCCGTGTAAGGTGTGGAAACAACCTCGGGTTTTCCCCCCACCGTCTTATGCTGCTGATAGAGTGCACAACTACGTAGTCGAAACACTGGAGGCATTGTCCAACAGGATCGATGCAGAACACCCCTCGGCTGCTGTCGCTGCTGCATGGTGGGACACGATGAAAACACAAGTAGTGGTCGGCATTCTTCGAGAAACCCGCCAAGAGAGGCGCAGCCTGACCAACACGTACAAACAAAAACTGGCGCGGCTAGAACAGCGAAAAGAACGTGCACAGTACATTGCACGTTCCTTTCCATCCGATAGTCATGAGTGTCACGCGGCGCAACTTAAAGTCGATCGGATTGCCAAAATAATTGCTGAGTGTAAGCGGAGCCGAGCCCAATCGAGGCGACAGCAAACTTTCCGTTCACATTCGTGGTATAATGGCAAGACATCCAGAGACTTCTTCAAACGAATATCTTGCAAGTTTAGTGACAACACTATCCCCACTCTCCATCCCTCTGACGGCTTTCCACCACGCGGAGTTCATGAAAAATAAAAAGCAGATATACTTGCCGATGCATGGGAACCCATCTTTCAGGGGTCATCTACATCTCCAACCAAGATAGAGGAAGTGACTGAGTGGATGGCGGCAAGACATGGGGACGCCGATACTGATATTCTATCGGATAACGCCTTCATTACAGAGGATTCGGTGGCAACAGCTCTGGCGGAGTGCCATGCAGGGAAGGCATGTGGGCCCGACCGATTGGGCAATGACTGGTATCAAGCATTTGCAGATGTGTTAATTCCTCTCCTGACCAAGCTATATAAACTTTGGTACTCAGCTGGTATTTTTCCGAAGTCATTTCTTCAGGCAAACATCTTCAGCTTAAAAAAGAAGGGTGACAGCTCCATTCCACTTAACTACCGCCCGTTATCTCTCCTCAATACCGATTACAAAATACTAACCAGGTTGTTAGCAACGAAGGTCAGTAAAACTTTAGCGTCACGAATTCATCACGACCAAAATGGATTTGTACCGGGGCGAGATATTCATGCAACACTAGATCTGTTCACAGCTGCCCAACGCATGGCAAGCTGCGATCCTGAGCTCCGCGATGCTATTGCTGTTCTTTTGGACTTCTCCAAGGCGTATGACTCGCTTGATCGAGAGTTTCTCTATTCCACGCTTGCGCGTCACGGATACCCGGCTCATTTCGTTAACATTGTACGAGCACTCCACACAGGCACTTCTGTCACGTTTTTGGCAAATGGTCAAAGTTCACGCTCCATTCCAGTTCATCGCGGAATTCGACAGGGGTGCCCACTTGCCCCACTGCTGTTCATTCTAGCTCTCGAGCCGCTATACCAAAAGTTGGACACCAGCCCCCGTTTACGAGGCATTCGCCTACGCTCGAAACACCATGCACGCGAGCTCAAGGTAGCTGGCTATGCTGATGATACGGCAGCCTACCTACGCAGTGCCTCACACCTACCTGACCTGTTGTTACTCACTGATGGCTTTGGGGAGGCGTCAGGTCTTCGAGTCAATGCCTCGAAGACATGTATTATCGCTCTTCACCCTGATGGCCCCAGCGCGCCTATGGAGATCACATCTCCTCTAGTCATTCAAGCTGCCGATCAGAGCTCGCGCTACTTGGGAATTCAGGTTGGTAGCTCAGCTTCTGCAGCGGATAAGACATGGATTATAGCGGAGACCAGAATACGGACACGCATCCGCCTCGCCAGCCACCGTACCCTGACAGTGGAGCAACGATCCCTCGTTGCGGCATCAATTATCATCCCAACCCTGTTGTACATCGGACGACATGTGTGGCCGCGGACTGATCAGGTCGAGTATTTCAATCGCTGCATTCGCAACTTCGTGTGGTACGGGTTCTTTGAAGCCAAAATTGAAGGTCGTCGGGCATGGCTTTCTGCTGAGATCGCTAGCTTGCCAAGAGTTGAGGGTGGCCTTGGTATTCCTGACCTCCGCTCAGAGCTCCTCGCTATGGCGGCTGTCGCCGTAACAGAATGGGCCTCAACAGGCTGCACCGACCAACACCTGATTGGAGACATACTATTTCCATTACACCCCACTACAACGGCACCGTCGGTATACGTGACTCCAGGATACGACCCCAAGCCCATTAGCGGCTTTGGCCCACACTCCTCTCTCCTTCGGACTGGCGTCACAATGATTCGCCAGGCTGGTGAAAAGCCATGCTCGCCTCAATACGTCGATAGTATCGAACCTGTCATCAGCCTCGTCGAACAGTGCGTACCACTCGAACCCCAGTGGGAATTCAGCGTTTTCACCTTGGATTGCCGTATGCTAGCTGGGCAGAGTTGGCACCACCATTGCCGAGATCTCCTTACTCGTCACGGTCACCTTGATCACCGATGGCTACCTCGCGCAGATTTGAAGTACATTGCTCAGCTGCCGGGAGCAACGGCCGCGGCCGCATTGGCATTCGCGCAGATTTGAAGTACATTGCTCAGCTGCCGGGAGCAACGGCCGCGGCCGCATTGGCATGGACTCATCGATCGACAGCTTATGGCACGGGGGTGGTCCATGATATTTTGCGCTGGCGCTTCGTGTCGACTGGCGTTATTGCCTTTTTTGACCCCACTGGAGTCGAAACAGGAGACTTACGCGCTCTGATTGTCACTCTCATTGTCAACTTTCCTGGGCTGCTGTCCCGCCCGTCTCCGGAGGGAGACCTACGCATCACGGCTACACCAGCAGATCTACACCAGCAGATCACCCCATCCAAGCCACTCTACGCCATTCCCCGGCATCAAACTTCATTTCCTTGCATATTCAAACATTCACAAGGTCGGTTTTCACTCAAGTGCATTCTGGAGCTGCAGTTCAGCTCGCACTCCAACAATTTGCTGGACCGGATGCAAACATTACCGCGGTGCAATCACATCCACTCCTCTCGCGCATGGTGTGCCTATGGGTAGGCGGCCGACGCTGGAAACAGTCTCGCCGACGCTACAAGCGTGCCGCAATAGCAGCCGCTCGACGTCGAGGCACTCAAGACGCTCTCCATCGACACAACGCGTGGGTCCACGATTCCCCCCAGATCGGCCAGGCCATTTACTCAGTGTCTTGGATCGAAGGGCGACAGGTCTTAGGGGCGTCTGCTTGGGGTGAACAAGTCTTTTATCGACTCAAACTGCGGGCTTTTTCCATGTGGGACCCTGCAGCTCTCCGCCCAGCGTGCGTCATAGAGGAGTGTGATACCGATACCCCCATTGGGACCCTGCAGCTCTCCGCCCAGCGTGCGTCATAGAGGAGTGTGATACCGATACCCCCAGTACCGCTCATATGTTCTGGCACTGCGCTGGAGCACGACGCTTGTGGGAAGTTTTCTTCTCTCACTGGAGATCGCTGGGTGCCGATGATGATGCATTTCAGCCGCGATATACTTTTGGATTAAACCTTCGAGCAGTTCCTCCGATACTATGGCAGGATTTCGACTCAGTACACGGGGCGTCGACAAGTGAGGCACGTGTCAAAATTCAGCGAGTCATCTACCCAGTAGCGAACATCCTTTGGCGCCTAGGAGTGATTGTGACATTGCAAGCGATATGGTCCCGACGGGCAGCCTACTTCGTTCCAACTAGTGACCGCTCAGCCGCCACAGCTGACGCACAGCTCGCAGCCCGCCTTCGCCATGCTTACATCTCTGGTAGCATTCTTGTCAAGCACACTTTCCGCACTGTGGCTCACACTGAGGCAGCGAAGATGATATGCTCATCGATGTTGAGGCATACCCCCAACACAAGTTCAAACATTACCCTTACTTCTCCACGACCGAAACAGATTCTCTTTTTTGATGGTGGCTCCAGAGGAAATCCCGGTCCTGGCGGCTCTGGCGCCATTATCGCGGAACTCACGCCGCAAGCTTCAACCCCAAAGCTATTATGGATGGCAAGCATATCGCAGTGCTCCAGACGGACAACGAACAATCTGGCAGAATACAGAGGGCTGCTTGCGGGACTTAAGTGGGCCCTGTCGGCCCGCATCTCTAATCTTCATGTAGTTGGCGACAGCAACATGATTCTGACTCAACTTCGGCGCCGCCGTCAACCGAGAGCTGTTCATTTACGTGATCTTTACGCTCAATGTCGAGAACTTGCTGATCGACTATACGTGTGCGAGTGGTCCCACCACCTCCGCGCTTTTAACAAGGCCGCAGACCGGCTAGCAAACATTGCCATGGACACCCGAAAAAGCCGTCAAATATTTCCCGAAGACAGTCCGGAACTTACGCAACTCTGGGCTCCAGTTCTCCAAGCGTTGCTGGGAGATCTGGAACACTGGAATGATATGCGCGATCCCGTCAGGGACTCTCGCTCTTCCTGAAGGTTTAGTCTCGACTAACCTTCTACGCGGCTCCCATCGATGGAGCCCCCCCGTCGAGTGATAGATAGGCACCGGCGGAACGGATATCTTTGTCGTTAGTGAGAACTAAGTGACAATAATATACCTCACCTGAAAATTAAATTAAATTACAGCGGGAGTGTCACCACTAGCGTTTCCTGACTCAATGCCCAATACTGCAGAGTTTTCTCAGTGAGATACATTAAAGTGAAGTAGTTTCTAACGACTCTTAACGAGGTTAATGTCCATTCCTCTGGAACGGTTCCAGTCCATATCTAGTACTCCACATAGAGCGAGCAGTTTGCGACCAAAAGCAACATTCGTTTATCTTAATGTAAGGTTTCATCTCGTGATTCTGTCGCGCAGTGCGACTTGCGAC